GCCATTAGATAAATAATACCAAATAGAATTGCCGCTCTCGGGGCCTGGGCAAACAGAAACAGAAACTTTTCCCCAACGTTTGCCTTGTGTCAGTTTTCCAGTCGAGTCGACTCAAGTTTTCGCCTCGTTTTTCCGGGGGACCTCAGCAAAGCAAAGTAAGCCAAATAAATAGAGCCAATAAATGCCTTGAAAATTGATGGGATTTTTTATTGAAACTTTCCTGACACGCCGGCCTTGAAACTTTGCGAAATGGGAAGTTTAACAAAAAATAGACATTCTTAAAATAGAGAAAATAAAGTTTTGATGAAAAAAATGTACCTCTATTTGAATTTTTCATCGGGTTTACTTTCAATCTTCGTGCAGGGAAATATTTTTTCTAATATTCCATGGCATGGCATAAATGCATTCAGCGGCGAGTTTTTGGTATGCGTTTAATCCTGTTTTGAATTTTCCATGTCTATGCATAAGTTTCATTGCTGCCGTCGCTCTAATACCGCCAGAAACTCCATACTTTTTTAGCAATTTTTCCTGCATTGGCCCAAATCAAAACGACGAAACGGGGAAACAGTGCGGGGTACACAGAAATTTTTATTGACTGCCGCCGAAAAAGAAAATATAAAAGCGGGAAATCAAATAAACATTCCGCATAAAATAAATTCGGGGCCACATCAAACAGCGCCACCGAAATCGAGTCCGAACAAATACAATACAATTTTCATGTGCGAGGAGGCGATCCGAGGTCGACACTGCAGTACGTTAGTACGACAGTACGGCAGTGCGGCCCAAATCGGCTCAGGAAAAAAGCAAATGCTGAAAATCAAATAAATCAAATGCTCGTAAATAAATCATTTGAATTTATTTTCATTTGGCCAAAAACGAAATGTTGACATAATAAAAGCACGATAAATACTCGACGCCGAAAAGCACGTCGCATTCCTCCAGAAAGGGAATATATATTTATATAAAAGTGTGCGAGTCCCCGACAGGAGCAACAAGAGTCCTGCTGACTGACATCGGACAGGCAGATGAAAGTGGCCCAGCAGTGGAGGAGAATCTTGTGAGCCTGTCACGAGCCAACAAAAGCTAAAATGTTATTTTCTCACTTCCAGCTTTGCAGCTGGGGTCCTCCGGCCCTTCGAGTGTCCTGTTTCTGTTCCTTTTCTATTTGTCTGTGGCTTCCACTTGCGGTTAGTTGTTTGGTCGTTCAAGTGCCACGCCCACCCGTCCTCCTTTGCCCTTCTGAAATACATATAGAGCTGTATTGGTGCCTTTTCAGTATTTTATTTTATTAGTAAATGTGCCGCAATCCCGTCTGTCGATTGTTGTGTCTCCATGGCAAATTGACACGTCTGCCGCAATAGTGTATCCCAGTATCTATATAATAAGACGATTATGGGTCACTATAGCAATTGCAACACAATACCCAGTCGCCGCCGTATGTTTCCTTGGAAATCCTTGGATTGCGCATTAGGGCCATTTTAAATTAACCTTAAAGGGGGCTGGTATGTTGTTTGGTTGTGCCAAACTGCCAATTTATTAAAGTGTCTTGGCAAAAAGATCAAATTTCAAAACTCATTTACTATCGACTTGCCACAAGAGTTTAAGAGAAATTAACAAGGTAAGCTCTCGACTCTGTTGCAATTTGGGGCTTTCAGCAAGGATCCTCTGACGAAGGCAAGGGGGCCAAATCTTTTAAGCCCGAGAATTGTTTATGGCAACTGCTTCCAGCCTGCCATCCTCACAGCCTTCTTGCCGTCAGCAGAAGAACAATTTCAACAAGAGTTTCTGGTGCCTGTTCCCTGCGGTCGGATGTCTTCAGCTGCATCCCAAAATCTCAAATGAATGCCAGACAGTGCTGCCCAAAATACAAGCTAGATTTAAAGGATATTAAAATAATTATATTTTGTTCTAATTCACTTTCCAAGTCAAAAAACATTCTCATTGACTTTTTAGTAAAAGTTTCACTGCAAATTGCCCAATTAAGTCAGCCCCACTGTTCCAACTCTGTCCAAATAACTTATAGCTTGAAACTTTGGCCAACGAAAAAAAACACCAACTATTCCGTAATTAATTGCACTTGAGTTCAAGTGAAAAGTTTCCTGAGGCACGATTGATTATTTCGGGAGCGCATATTTGGCGCTTCATTTGTTTGGCAACCGCGGGAACTTGAGCTCAAGTTCCATCTTCGTGCTGTAATCCAAAGTCGGAAAACTGGAGACTTTTCACGTAACCAGGCACGTAGTTTTCCCACTCCGTCCGAGATCTTGGTCTCCCTGGATCTCACTCCTGCTCATCCGTCCTACAATGTCTCGCTAATTGAATTGTTAAGCGCTTTTGATGCGTTTGCTAAGTTGCTCTTAGGATGCAATTTTGTTGAAGATTTAACTGGAAGCCTGCAAACATTTCGCGCTGCAGTGCTGAGTGGAAGGCAGCTCCTGCTTGTCTGGAACAGGCAACAGGCAATCTGCTTGGTTTTCCGGAAATGCTGGCTATAATTGTTTCCCCTCCGCCCACTCCCCGGCCCGCCGTGGCGGCGCCTTTATCCACTTTGTTGTTCTGCAACTGTGAACAACAGCAACAACAGCAGTAAGGACATGCATATGTTGCCTGCTTGTTCCTGGCTTCCCTGTTTTTACAACTTGAAGTTTTCATGTTTCTCATATAGATTTTTTCTCTCTCTATTTTTTATAGAGCCTTTTATGTTTTTTATTATTTCGTGTTTGGTTCGCCAGATGTTGGCTTTGGCCGGCTATGTGGGTCACTCACTTTTTGCGTTGTTAACTCATTTGAATTGCACGTCAACAATTGTGAAAACAAAGCGAAAACTTTTGCCATTTGTTCGGGCAACAGCCAACACGGCATTCAACAACAACAGGAACAACTAACAGTTGTTAAAAAACACAAGAAGCATAAAAAACAAACACAGGCAGCTACAACAAGAGGATTCCCAGAACGCAGGGCGCTTAGGGACTTGAGTTTTATCTGCTGATTCCTCAGATCATCCCAGAGCGCCGCATAGATATACTTAATTGTATGCGAAAGTTTTCAATTGAAACAAGGAGTGGCACTTCCCTCTATCCACTGAAACTCCCAGAAAGAAAACCAGAATCAGTAGCTTGAGCTGGAGAGCTCAAGCTCTCCTGTCAGCCACTCCATTGCTCACCACAGGTGGTCCTGCAAGTGGAGAGTCCTTCCATAAATAAACGAGTTGATTTCCTGTGGCTCTCATAAACTTGTCATTCCAGTTCCATTTGTAGATATCACATTTCTTTCTTTCGCCTCCCTGCCACTTTCTTGCAAGTAAGCCCGGCTAATTTACTTGGCTGGTTTCTTCTTCCCACTGCCTTGCCTTTGAGCCAACTCGTGGGCAGGATCGGCCAAGTTTATATTCATTAAACTTCCGCCACATTTTGCGCTTTATATTTTGGCGCTTTCAAATGTCGGCCCGGGACACTCGACACCGCGCCACTCCCCCTCATCCGCTGCGGTTAGTTTTGGCCGGAAAGTTTATGCTTTTGTATTTCCGGCGGGCCTGGGCAACAGTTTTCCTCCCACCCACTTCCTCCTACTCGTTTTTCTGCCTCCTCCCGCGTCCGACTTCATCTCGGGCCGGAAAAGTGCAATTTCAAAATTTGTGCTGCATTGAGGCTTTTCTTGGAGCTTCTTTTTTGCTATTTTTTTGTGGCAACCTCAAAGTAAAGTTAAGAAATGAGCATGTTTAACTTTTTGGCAGGCAAAGGAGCGAGAGACAGACAGCCCGAAAACAGCAAAAAATCCTTGTTTGCCGACTTAAATTTCCCATCCATTGCCCCAAGTTACTCGATGCAAGGCAGCAGCTGCCGTTTGAACAGGGACTTGCATAAATTTGCATAAATTGCGTAAACGAGGATTATAGAGCTGGCAAAATGACTTAAAGGCGGGCCAGCCTGACGCTAATTTCCCTGACCTCGAAACGAATCTTCTTTCTGGAAAGTCACTGGAAGAAAATACTAGAACACTCACTTAAATAGTAAATAGTCATTCCATAATCATAAATAAATTATCATTCTTTTAGTCCTTTTGAAGTCTCAACGACTCCTCCCTTTTTCAACAAAAGTTACTTTCAGTGTGTACTTACTTTTTATTCATATTTAAGGAGCCCAGTTGGCTGGCAATTGATTTGGCCATCTTGTGCCAGCTTACGGGTTTATGACAAAACCACCAATAACCCATCAAAGTCCAAAGCAGGCCATTTGTATGCGGCACTCAGCGCCAGAGCCAAGCGATTGAGTCACTAATTACTTTCTCTTGGCTTTAATCGCCTTGGTAACGCAAAGTGCCCGCCCCACCCAGCCGCCTCCTTCGAGCCAGCTGTCCATTAAAAGTCTCTTCCCAAGAGGGCCAAATTGTTAAAGTAAATTTAGAGGGGCGGAGCTGCCATTACCCCTTACCCCTTCGAGCATAAACAATTAAATATTTAGGGCCTGTCCACGCCCGCGGATAAAGGTCAAGGCTGTGGCCAGGACGAAGGGATATCCCTGGGCGGGTTTTCCTTCGGCTTAGCTGCGTTAATTGGCCCGCCTGCGACGGGCCTTTGTTTGGCCGGCTCCGATGCAAACGGTCCAAGCTGTTTGTCCAACGGTTGAGAATTTCCGAGGCGATTTCGGCATCTAATTGCCAAGATTTGGGCCCACCTTGCCGGGGGCTCACTCAAAACTAGAGCAGAGCCTTGGCTGTATCTGCATAACAAATGGGTTTGGGGCACTGTGAGAAAGTCTCAGGTTTGGGATGAACTTCCTACCCGACAACCAAAAATATTCTGTGGGAAAGCATAACTCCATTTGTTCGTAGGTGATCCAATCATGTCAATCATTATAAAGTTGCTCAAGCACATTAAGTGGAAACTAAATTTTGTTTAACAAAACCAAATTAAGTGGCCAAAATGGGAAAAGCATGCTTAGAGTTTTCGACAATGCCATAAGTTTTTAATAGCCACAGATTACGCTAGCAACGGGAATAATGTGCCAGAAACTATGAGTGTGTGTTCGACATTGTTGCTGACATAAATAAACTGAAAATTGTGATTACCCAGCCCCAAGACAAGAACAAAAAGTTAAATTACCAAGCAAAAGCTTCGCAAAACCCGCTTAAAAATAATTAAAAACTCAAACACAAACTGAAAGTGAAAATTTATTTATTCGCGTTTTTGTTCAAGGTTGTTTGGCGCGGAAAGTGAAAAATGAATTCAAAAACCGTATATTTTTAGTGCAAAATGATAGCTTGAGTTGTGCGCGAAAATTAATGCCATCTACTATGAGAAGCTCGCTGTGCTGTGATTTATGCAAACGCCACAAAAGTGCACAGCAGCAGCGCAAATTGCAAAAATACCTCAAGGGCGAAGGCAGCAGGAGCCGCCGCACCACCAACTCATTTAAAATAGTGCAAATCAACAAAGGCAACGGCAACGGCAAGCCCAGCAGCTGGCAGTGGAATCGGTCCAACTTATCATTTTAATCACTCAGCGGCAAACACGGGAGCCGGAAATAGCAGCGAGGTGTCGCGGACAATCTGGACTACGAACTCGACTTGCAGTCAAAGTTTGTTCTTTTTCTGCCGCTGGAACGGAACAGTCTTTCCGCTGAAAGAGAAGCTCAAACTCGAACTAAAACTCATACTCACCGCCTCGCTTAGCTTCCGCCTGCGTAGTTATGGTCGATCCATTAAAAATCTTTTGGGTTTTGACAAATAGCACCTATTTGGGTAAGTGTGTACGGCCATTTGTGTACCCTATATTGTGAGTGTGCGTGCTGTAATGAACTAGCTGGCTGGATGTGCATATGATTATTTACCTTCCCTCCACAGCGTCTTTATGTTTATGTAATGGTCTTGTGAAAATTTCATGAAGTGTAATTCGTGGCATGGGGACTGGCTGAAAGGAAAAGCTAAGGTAAGGGTCCTGGAGAATCAGAGCCTGCACGTGTGTACGTGAGGGATCTTAACTAACGACGCCTCGGGGACTGTGTAGTCCTCCGCGCGTGGTTTTTCTTCTTCTCATCCTGCATTTTAAATATGCAATCATATTTCCCAGGTCTTCCTAGTGAAATAATGAAAAAGTACAGGATAAATAAATCAGTTGCGTCGTAGAAAAATGTACACTCCTATTTTGCTTTGACTAAACTTTAGATTTTCCTTAATTACTTCAGTTTTTATTCGCAGCAACTTTAAATTAATTTCTGATTAGCATGACTCTCCGCTTCTGCTTCCCTGTCACTGCACACATGGCGTATACGCAACATGGCTGAACTGATAAAAGCGCAATTTCCACGTGAACAAGCTTTTTAATTGCGGCTTTCGGTCTGGGGTGGCCACCATCCTCAACCACTCTCAACCCCTTTGACCGACCGCCCCCGTGGCGGATGTAGGTCGTAATTAACACGCCAGCGGACCGTCGGCTCTCGGCTGCCTGTTGTTAATGAGAACGAGGCCCATAAACAAGGTCTCCGCTTCACCTTGTCTTGCCCGAACTCATTATGACTGACAAAATATTTGTCAACTCATCAACGCCACTGCCGTCGAGAGAATAGCGCCATATTTTCGTGTTTTTTATACCGGGCTACCGGGCCACCATACTGTCTCGCCTCCTTTTTTTATTCCGGATTATTTTGTTTTGTTGTTGGATGGTGGCTGTTGGCTGCTGGCCGCCCTTCACTGTCCGCGGACACTTTTTAATTAGCCGGGCCGAAAGGAAACTAACAGGAATTTTAATGCTCCTCGCAATGCGCGTAATAAACAAGAATAAAAAAACACAGAAACAAAATCCCCTTCTAAACATTTCATAAGTTTAATTAACAATTTTTTGTTCTTTGTTGGTTAACTCGCTCAAAAGCCGTGTGGTGAGTGGTAAGTGGGGGTAGGGCAGCTGGGATAAAGTTGAAGTGCAGGTCACTTCCGGCATCGGATGTTGGTAACGATGATCATCATCATTGGCTGACTGGCTAATGAATACAAATAATCCGCGCACTCGGACCGGGCCGGGGCTTAATTGAAATTTCAGAACGAGCCTCTGTTCCAAGGGCCCCAAAAAATTCGAGCTGGCCATCATCAAAGTTAATGAGCTGCACGGTACATAAAAAAATGAGAAATGAATACGTGGAGTGAACCCAAAGGGTATTATTTGGATTTCGAAGGGTTCAACGAGTTCATTAAACGGATTTAATTGTACTTCTTTGAGGGGATGGGTCCTTTTTGCAAATCAGCAAAGGCCGAGTGTTGGAAAAACGAGGTCATAAATCACTTCCTTGTAATCGGGTTGTTATCCTGTATAAATAAATTTAAATGAGTGTTCTAACCTGTAGATGGAATATGATATCATGACCGACATAAGCTAGTTGTGCAATCTAGGCACATAAATCACTCGATGGCCAAAATCAAGTGCCGAATGAGTGCTGGTTGTAATTACCTGGCTGGCCTCGATGTCATTTGTAGAAAGTGGCCGTATCGAATGTCAAGTGTCATCAGCAGTTGTTGGCAAGATCAAAGCGCGTCAACCGCAGTAATAAATTAATGGAAAAACTAATTATAAAACACACGGACACATGGCTCACCTCAATCATTTATGCCAAAAGTCAAATGAGCTGCCATTATGCCAGTGCTCCGACTGGCAAATCCCGCCCAACACAACAGGACCCCTGGCATCAGTAATTTTTCAGCAACGGGGTTGGGTTGGGACACACTGTCAGGCAGTTTAAACTTTTGCCACATGACATATTACGCATACGCACTGTGGTCCGCCGTCCCGTCCTCTTGCTGACACGTGGCGCATTAAACTAATAATAGCTCCCTCCCCATCGATCTCCGTCAATATTTGTTTTACTTTGGCAGGGCAAACTTTTTTGCATGTCGAACAGAAAACTAAAGGCGAAAACTTAATCCGAAATACATGAGTAAACACAACACGAGATTATCATAAACTTGTGAGAATTTATAGCTCAAAGGGTGGGCGAGTGTGTGTCGCTGCCTGTGTACACTAAGCTGCGTTAAACGCCCGGGGGCTTAAATCACTTCCACAGTCCAGAAAAACATTTACTTTGTTTCGCATACATATCTGTATCCTTGTTTATTTATCTGTTTATTTGTCTTGTTGTCAAGCGCCGGCCTGAAGACTAATTAGTAAATTAAAACTTGTAATTTATTTATTTGCGGCAACTTTGAAGGCGTTTACATAACTAGACTTGCCGCAACAGAATTAAGCCGAAGGGCGAATTAATGCCTGAGGTTTGCAATGAGATAATTCTGGTTTTCTTTCTTTTGCCTTTGAATCGATTGAAATCTTAATTGGAGTAACGGTTTTAATGAGAACGTTCAAGCTTTCCAAAGCCAATCAAATAAATAAATTTCAATGCGCCACTCTTGAATTTCAAATGCCCTTTTAAGAGGCAAATATTTTCTAGCCAGCAAAGCAAACTTTTCATTTGTAAGCTAAGCACTATATCTTATCCATCGAAAGGCGCACATTAAATATTATGACTAAGGAGTGAGGACTAAGGACTAAGAACCAGAAGCGTCCAAAGAGCCACCCAAACTGGTATAAGCCAAAAGCCCAGTGACAGCATAGACAAACCCTTGGAAACCCATACAGCTAGTGGATGTCAAAGCTAGTCCCCTCCCAGTGTCAGCCCTTCCATCCTGTCAGTTTTAATGTGATGCGCTTTGTTGCCTTTTTGAAAATGTTGCTTCCTCCCTGCTGTTTCCCTGCTCTGCCCTGGCGTTTGCTTTGCTTTCGCCAGCGCCATTGGTAGTGCCGCCGAGTCCCACAAAACTACTTTGACTATCTGAGGCTGGGGCGCTGCCGATGTGTGGGTCTGTATCTGTGTTTGCCATGGCTGATTTGAACAGCTCTGACATTTGACGCCACTTTGCACACATTTTTCCCTTTTCCACTCCTCCCATTTCCTCCTTTTATATTTTTTATATTTATTCTGCTTTTCTGATGGATAAAAAACAGGCACTGAGAGGCAACAACAAAAACGAATTCTAAAGCAGCATATAAAATAGAGAAATGTTTACGGGGGGGACGAAAAAAAAAACAGAGAAACTAGTGCCAGCTGCCAGTCATTCATGGACTGACATATGGCTCCCCAGCAGGGGCGCAGCGGGGCGTGGCTGGCTTGTTAGTGTGCCAGTTATGCGGCCATAAATAGCTGACGGCTCCTCACCTGTTCACCTACCAGCCTGCCCCCGCCACTGCCCAGCCCGGCTTTCACCTGCACACGTTAATAGTTTAAAGTGAGCCCTTTTGACTGCCGTGCCAAGACAGTGGCTGCGGAGTGGGGGTCGGGCATTATGGTCGGGTGCTGTGGGGGCGCTGGAGCCCCTGGTCGGTGCTGGAAAGCGAGAGCACGCTGACTGGCTGACTGACTGCCTGTCTGATGACTTGGGCGCAGTTCACTTTGCTGCTCAATTTAACACCAACAATAAGGCCAGCAGGGGGTTGGTATAACCGAATTTCTGTACAGGGTATGGAAAGGATTTTTAAGGAGATTTTTTAACTAAAAGGGGTAGATTTAATATTTAACTACAGGAATAAAAATAGAGATAGGAACTGCCAAGGATATATAGTTTTGTGGCCAGTAAGAGGGTGGTTTCCCAAGCATGACTTCAAGTTTTCTATTTTCCAAAGTTTATCCACAGCTTTAGTCAGTATCCTTTAGTCCAATCCTTGCCAAGGACTCAAGTTTACCTGCCATAATGTCAGAGTGCCAAAAAATTAAGTCAAGATACCTAAGAGCCAAAAGAAAAAACGAAACAAAATGCAATTTCGACTGGCAGCGCTGTTTGCTCACGGTGAGTGTGTGTATGGATGCTTATGTATAGAGGTATATTTGTATTTATTCAGTATATTGTAGCTACATACACACACACACTACACTCTACGAAGATTTTCTGTGGAATGACTTCCTAAACGCTTTCTACTCGACTCGCTTTCCCTTCTTTGGGGTCTTATTTATACGAGATTTGCGCTTGAGCTGCCTCCGAAAACGAGTGGCCTATGTGTTTTTGCGAGCTTGTGTGTTTGGATATTTATTTTGCTCATTTCTCATTTTCTTTCATTTTGTGGGCCAGGAAGAGGGACCCTGGACCATATTACGTGCTAGACTTACCTCCAAACAAAATAAAGCAAAGGCTAAATTCTAAATTAGATTCTATTTGTCTTGGCCCATGCTTACAGCACACTTTTGAATGGAAGCCTGCTGGGAGTCCATTCACTGCTTTATTTATTTTTTATTCCATTTAATTTCTTCATGAAAAGGCTGCTCAAGTTGGAGACTTGAGAGTTTTTGTGCTGCCCTCGAATAAATGAATGATGTGTGAGCTGGAGTTGTACTTGACGTGGGGGAAATTTAAGAGGCTTTGAGGCCCTGGCGTATTTTTGCATGTTTAATTAGTTTTTGAACCTTGTGCTCAGGAGAGGCTTGACCGGCCAGTTTTCACAAAATTCAATTAGGCCGCACAAAGGCAAACAAGGCCGAAAGACTAAACTATTCGACAGCTTCATCGGTGCATTTGGCAAGTCAAACATTGAAAGTTTGAGCAACACTTCGCTTGGCTTCCGATCTGTGCTGTCTTGTAATTACAAAGTATAAAGACCAACAAAGACAGCGCCCTGACATTTCTGCTTACATAAACGATAAATAAATTGAAGTTTAACAAAATTTCACATTCGTTAAATTGGGAAACTTTTAAACCGCTCGAGAACTTATTAAAGCACAAAGTGCATTTAACAAAATGCTTTTGCTGCCAAAGGATTGCCCCAGAAACTGTCGTCCCTTTCAACATTACGTATACGCAGCGTACGCCAGGCATTTCCGCCCTTCGGCCATATTAATTCTTCGTTGCTCACTCTCTGCATGATTCTTTTATGATGTGTTCCTGCCAGGCTGCCAAAGAACATTTATTTTTGTAGAAAATATACTTTTCAGAATACATACATTTATGCCCGGGCTGTGGAAGGTTGTGTTTCTTTCACAAAATTGTGGAAACAGATTATTGCTTCCTCGTGTGGGAAACAATTCAGACAGAAGGCGAAGGACCTTTTAAGTTATCCCCAGGCTCTTGGGAAAATTGAACGTTTCAAAGAAATTCTGTTAGTTGGGCCGACAAAGGGCGGAGGATGCGTTTAAAAACACTAGGGCATGCAAATGGAATAAAACTTAATTATTTAGGGACACTTAAGAGCTTGAAAGGTTTGCTTCGCTTATTCAGGGACTTTCGAAGGATTTCATATTTTACTTTTGCGAAAAAACAAGTGGCAAGTTTGCAAAACTTGTGCTTATAAACTTCTTCGAGGGGATTTCAAAAATCCACGCTTATTTGTGGAGCGTGCAGTTGCCGTGTTTTAGCCCTGAGCAGCCCTGCCGCTCGAATAAAACTCATTAACGCACGTTCCCTCCGAAAACTAAACTACACCATTCAGAACTATTCAGAAAGTTTTGTTTGGCAAGACATTAGCAGGAAATAAGCAAATAAAGCGAAGCAAGCAAACGTTGCATGCAACTGCAGGGGGCGAGGCGGAAAACCTTCAATCCGCTGTGCACTTTGTGAAAACTTATTTCGCTTTTCACTCGACTAGGGGACAAACTTTTCACTTTGAGAGATTGTTTTGTGATTTTTGTTCGCCTCTAGTTTGGCAGCAGAACCAGGACACCCCGAAAACAGTCGGGTTGATTTGGGTGAAGGCCCTCTATCTGCACTAACAACAGCCTAACTTGTTAACAATTTACTTAGCCAGGTTCCTTTGAAGTGGCATCTACACTCGGCGAGCGTTTTGCTTATTATTTGTTTCTAATGCTTGGAGGCCAAATTAATGTTTATTTTCGTATTTCCCTTATTATTTCTAGTGTATGAGTCAGGGGAACTCTTCCTTTTTATGCCTGCCACGTTTCGGGCATAAACCGACGAGTTTACGACTTCCTCGACCGCAAAGAAGGCACGCGCACAATTTGTCAATCAATAAATTTGCGATAATTAATGCTGCTTATTGGCATTTCATACACTAACCACATCCAACACAGACCATCTATATACAGTATGTGTGTCTATATCATCGCTTGCCTTCCTTTTTTCTTATTTGCAGTTACAAAATTTGTACGCATTGGTATTGCCGACAAAAACGACTCGCCGCCATATTTCGATAGATTTCTGTACGAGACTGAAATCGATGAAAATGCCGACTTGCAGAGCACAGTCCTCACTGTCAACGCCAAGGATCACAATGAGTGTGAGTAGACCCCCGGAGAGGGACAAGACATAAACAATAAAAGCCTTACTATTTCTAATTTAATGTGATTTTGCCTTTTGTCTTAGATTGGATTTGAACTCAAGCGTATAAGTCTACCATTCGAACTGAATCGCTTGGGCGAAAGAATGTATTGCATAAATTCTCAATTTATTTAATTAAGTGTGTCTTTAATTGTAATTGTCTCGGGTGCTGATGTGCTTTGTATCCTTCTGAAGGATACGGAGCGGCAGTCAGCCGCCTCACTGACTCCCGGATTATGTCAGTGAACTCGTACAAATTAATGCATGCAATTTCCAAGCAATTAAGTTAACTCAATGCAATCATTTATTCAAAAACTTTTGTTGTGGCGTGGAAAGTTTAATTTAAGTTTGATGGAAAATGACATAAAATAGTGTACAAAAACAAACCGATCATTTAATCGGAAAATGATTTAGTGCCTTCCTCCCTGGGATTGAATTGCCATCAGCTCGACTTGCGTAAGAAGACCATAACAAAGTCATCGGAGAACAATTGCTTACATGATTTTTGCCAAATCATGCGACAGCGACATTTTCAGTCAGTTTGAGCCATGAATTCTACGACTTCCTTCCATAAAGCACAAAAATTATACGAGAATTCATACATCGGGGTATAGGAGGGCCATAAACATTTAGAAAAAACCAATTTGGCAATTTCCCTCATGGAGCCACAAATTTATGCATAAATATTAAAGCGTCGCTTGAGAAGTATCTCTTGCCATTCCACGAGCTCATAATAGACATTTGCAACATTTATTTATTTTAATATTCCGCCATGTGGGTGCGTGGGTGTGCAGCCATTGTCAAATATTATTAGGCAATGGCCATGTACCGCAAATATTTACGAAATATTAACAAATAAAGGCTCATTGTTGGCCAAGAAACAGATACCGAGCAGCAGATACAGCTCAGAGCCATGCATAAATCCATAAAATAGAAAGACAAACACAAATGGAAGGCAAGCGAGCATCTCATATGCGAATTTGTATATTTGTGTATTGATTCCCATGCGGAAATTATTATTGTTAATACACACACCCTCGGGTGGGGGAAAGTTCTGCGACTCCGACCGCGGCTCTGTCTCTGTGGCAGACACAATTTGCAGCACGAAAAACATTCAAAATCTCATTGAAAGCGTTTAACAACTTTCCCCCAGAACCGAGGAGCAGTGCGAACTTGTGGGTAGAACTTTGTCTTTCCTTTGGCGCGGTTTCCACAACAGCAACAGCTCACAAAGGACAAAGGACATGCCAGGCAGAGGAAGTGGTCTGAGACTGAATCCGTATCCTTGTTGTCGCCGACGCGACGACTGCGAAAAAAGCATTAACCCGAATTGGAAAAAAGGAGAATAGTCCTCGGAAGGACAATACACAAGTCAACAAGAGATGGTTTCAACTTTTAACAAAAGATATGATATAAATATATATATTTAGAATTTTAATATAATTATAAAAATTAACCTTAAAGGTAACTTAAGCACGAGTCAGATACTGAGAAACTTTTATTTTTACCCTGCTCATCAGTGTAATCTCCTAGAGAAATGGAAACAACGTTGAGAGCTCCAAAGGACGGAAAAATAAATGTGCACACGAAAATTTTGAACTACTAGCAGACGGAAAAGCTTTCAATTCTCCATGCGAATCGCATAGAATATGAATTGAAGGCTGCGAGTTGAGAAACAGGGTCAGGACGAATCTTTTATGTGATTTCTTGCGTTGCCATGTTTTTTGTCTACCAGGGAATCCGAGCATGCCGCGTGGAGCAGCAGAAGTTTGTGCCGTTTCGTGTCCCATTCCAAATTTATGAGCGAAAGATTATTTATTTGGCTGGGTGTTCCGAAGTGGTTGCCATGTGTTGGCCAAATGTTGTCACATTCGAGCCAGTTGCCAGATACCAGTTTGCCAGTTCGAAGAACTTTCAAACTCAATGCAAACGATGCTCATTTATTTCCATGTTCACAAATCTCTTAAAGCCCCGAGCTTTATGCAGTCACTTTTGAATAAGAAACCTCACCTTTTTTTCGTGTGTGCCATAAAAACACTTAGCTGCCGCCCTCAACCCTCCCACAAAACAAGGAAAACATTTAGATGAAAACCTAGAAAGATCAAAACAAGAGCCAAAAGCCCACAATGCTTTTCCTCCACTTTTTAAAATGACTTTTCATGCTAAATAAGTACACAGACAACATGGGGGAGTTGAGGCTGGTGGGCAAGGCTCTAACTGCCTTGGCTGCTCCCATGTGTCTCTGGAGTCCCTGGTGTCTGTATATTAATTTATTATCATTATCAGTGATTTAAAATGGCGTCTTGGCGTCGTAAATTGTAAACGTCATTGTCTAGGACTGGGGACTGGGGACTACTTAACAGGACTTGCCTGAGCTACTTTTAATGTCCCTGTTGTTGTTATTGCGAGGCGATAAAAAAAGTGACAAAAACAAGAGCCCCTACATGTTTAAACTAGAGAGCATTTTATAGGTTGCCTTCAAACGATGAGCCGTAAATTTAAGTGGCAAAAAAATATAAAGTGAATTGCTTGTGCGAGGGCTGCTCATGAATTAAGGGGCAGATCATCTAGTATGCCTGGAAATTACAATAAGCTTGTCAGTGACGGGTCGACACTCACTTTCATATCCGAGTTCTAACTGCTAACATCACTTAATATATTTATATTCGAAATATCATATAATGTCGTGCCTAACGCTGAAGCGCCCCTCTTCTTTGGAGGAGGATTTTTCTGAAATAACTCCCCAAAAACGAAGACGTTTGGACTTTCCTATAAATAACACTCCAGCGAAACCGCAGTCGAACCCCATCCGATCGGAGAAAATACCTGAATTTATCCAAGAGTCCCTGGTGCAACTGCCCCATTCTTTGGAGGAGAATTTCGCTCAAATTATTTCCCTGAAACGAAAACGCGTAGTAACTAAGGTAAATAACACTCCAGCGGAACCGCAGTCGAACCTCATGCGATCGGAGAAGGTACCTGATTATATCCAAGAGTTCTTGAACTCGGAATTGAGTGACTCAGAGGAAATCATTCCCTTAAAACGAAGTCGGTGGGAAGCTAATATAAATAACACTCCAGCGGAACCGAAGCCGAATCCCGTCCAATCGGAGAAGGTTCCTGATTATTTGCCGACCTCCACCAACAACTCGGCACTCAGAGGTAAGGTCTCTGAGAAAGTAAACCTATTTACCTTCAAACAACTCCAATCGATGTGCGTTAACATGATCGAAAAAAGGGAAAACAGTGTCAAGGAAGAATATGAGCAGCTGCTCACTCGGAAGATGGCTGAGCAGTATGATGTGTTTGTCAAATTTATTCACGACCAGATGTACCGGGAAAGGGGACAGTGTTCTAGTTATTTAAAGTAGAAAAAAAATTTAATTGTTGTATTTGTTGCCTTAAATAAATGTTTGTTATTCTGCATTGAAATACATAACTTTTTTGGCCTCTTTCCGGCTAATTCCTTAATTGTGCCCCAAGCTGTTAGTGTCAAAAGAGACGGAGTCAAAGGCGAATGTGGCCAAGCAGTAATGGCTCACAACTCTGGCTTCATGGCAATCTGTTCATCTTCAGCTGGCTGAGCAGGTTAAGCGATTTACGCGTCGCTAATTTACGCTAATGTTTGTCTTTCACATTTCCGCATAAATGCACAGACAATGTGGCAACACATAGGACCCCAGTTTGTCCTGCCATTTCCGCTCTTCCCGGCTTTTCCAGCTTTCCATCACGTGTTCAGGCTGCCTGGCTGGCTGGCTGGTTGTCACATGTGAGAGCATTTCCATATTTTGCCGGAGAAGACAGCACTTCGCGGGCTGTTTAAACACAAAATAAGTAAATTATATGGCATCATGTTGTTGCAGGCCTCCTGTTAAAACATTAGGGCCCTGCCAACATGTCCTTCGCCGCTCCCTCTCGCTCCCGTGGGTGCAAAATGTTTTTTAATGAACTTAATTATTTCAGCTTCCTACCTCCGTTCTCATACTTGACTTTCGTCCTTTCTTTTTGATCTTCAGAGGAGTTTCTTTGGGCGGAAAAACGAGAACATATTCGGATATGTGAGTGGGTTCTTTTTCAAATTTAATGGCGCAAAGTATCCCGAAACTTTTGGCATTTTTATTAAATAATGAGTCGTGGTATCTCCCTCGGAATTAAAGCCTCTGTTTGGATTATTTTGACTTTAATTTAATTTTTATTGCGTGTACACAGAGGGTGACGCGCAATTTAATTATCCCATCTGGATGACGTATTAAAATAAATCTTTTTAATGACCTGGAGTTTTTCCTTTTTTTTACAGCGACGAATATTCGATACCAGATCACAGGCGGTAACATAGGCAATGCCTTTGCCGTGCAAAACACCACCGGCGTCATTTATGTGGCAAGTCCACTCGACTACGAAACGAGGCCAAGGGTAAGTACTTCCACACGTCTAGTGGGATCTTTAAAAAAATGGGTATTCAATATGGATCATTTTAAAAATGATATAGTTAGTCTGATGAATATGAAGTTACCTTTCCTTTAAGTTATTCTCTCAGTGCTAGTCCTAGTCTCGAAATTGATGCACATTTTTCTTTGTCCTATTTTCTCGTCTGGGGCCTAACTTTCTGTTGCATGCATAATTTATATATTTTTGTGATTTCGTTAAGAAAAAATAAAAAAAAAATATGCAAAACTATGCAAACTTTCGGAGGGAGAAGCCAAACTTTTGACATGGCGAGGCGAGGCGTATGAAAAAAAATTAATCCCAAAAAAAGGGAAAACTCGCTTACACGCTGAAAGCATTCTCAGAGCAGGAAAGTAGTGGGATCGGGGGACAGACAGCTACAGCTGTCGTTACATTTCCCAATGCGCATTTTTAACGTGATTGCCGACGCACCAATCCAGCGTAGACATACGAGTTCGCCTGCCAGCGTCCTGTCGCGTCCTGTTGTATCCTGCGTAGCTCGCCGTCGTCATCACCTATACGCAACTTGTTTTGGCACCCCCACAGGACTGGAAATCCGTGTAGCTGTCAATACCCAGCCATGCAACAAGCCATGCCGTGCCACAACCAGCGGCAGCAAAACAACAAGCCGCAGCCCCTCGAACATGTGTTGCCAATTTCGTATTTGGTGTTCGCTTTTTCTTTTCTATTGTTTTTATACTTTTGCAGCAGAGTGTTCAAAACAATCCATTTAAACGAAAAAATTGTTCGAGCCCACATTAGTAGTGGAAAAAACTATTCCAAACTTCTTGTTTCTAGAGAGACCCATCAGAAAAAAAGTACGAAAAACCTTTGGAAAAAATATCAACGCAGATTGTTAGGAAAAATGGACAAAAAATCTACAAAATATTTTGTCTCAGGATTTTGATGTAGAATGGTGGCGAATCAATCCAGAAATCGTTTAAGGTACCCCGCTTAAGAATCGGATCAGGATGGGGGAAGATATAGCCATTACAGTGGACCCTATAAGGGAAAACCTTATTTATCCCTTGAAAATAAGGTTTTCCCTTTTCCCATCACGAAAAATGGACACAAAATCTAACAAATATTTTATCTCAGAATTTTGATGCAGAATGATGGAGAATCGATCCAGAAATCGTTTAAGGTACTCCGCTTGAGAATCGGGTAAGAATTGGAAAAGATATAGCCAACACTGTGGGCCATATAGGGGAAAACCCCATTTCAAGGGATCCCATCAAGAAAAATGGACAAAATATCTACAAAATATTTTGTCTCAGGATTTTGATGCATAATGGTCGGAAATCAATCCAGAAATCGTTTAAGGTACTCCGCTTTAGAATCGGATGAGAATTGGGAAAGATATAATCACCGCTCTAGGCCCTTCTACACATTTTCTATTTTTCAATCTAAAAAATCTAAAAATTTATTTTACTTTTGAGGTTTCGATGCAGATAAATAGGAAATAAATAGGAATCGGATGGAAGTTGGATGAGATATAGACATCATGGTGGAACATATCTTATACATTCCCAATTTTTCTTGAATGACTTGGCCATTAATAGTAAAAAAATTGGAATACATTTATTTACTCTTTTCTTTGCAGTATGAACTTCGCTTGGAGGCGACACGAAATCGCAAGAACAACTACACCACGGTTGTGATCAACGTTCGCGATGTCAACGATAATCCACCGGTGTTCGATCGTCAAACATATCGCACACAAATCACTGAGGAAGACGATCGCAACTTGCCCAAGCGCATCCTGCAGGTATGTTTTTTTCGGATCGAAAGCGTTGCCTACTTTTGTGGGCAGCACTTTATCGCCTTATTGGCTCCACACAATTTAAATATTGACATCAACAGCGACATGAACAACAGCCGGGCAAATAAAAAATAAGAAACATGGGCGGAGAACAATACACACAATGGCCTACCCGTAATTTGCATAAAAAGCCAAAAACTGAACAATAAAAACTGAACGGGAGGCCGAAAGCAAACAGCAGGCTGGGCAACTCAAGTGGCAAGTGGATAGCATCCAGAATGGGGCTGGGAAGTGGGAAATCGGAAAATATGAGGAAGAGAATGGTGATGAGGCCGAGAAAGTTATCCGCTCGCGTGGACCGATTCAGCCGTAAACACAAATAAATACTCATTCATTAATAATAACGTGATAGTTGCGCAATGGTGGTAAGCGCACACACACACATAAATACATTCATCAGCTTTATGAGTTCGCATACTGAAATGCGCATACATGTACAAAAAGAAAGAACACGCATACGCCCCGTTGAATGTGTACGCTCGTATCTCGGTACAAGCGACTTTTATTTAAGTCATAATTTACCAGCTCTGAGAACTTTACGGGCGCATAAAAATTTGAATACTCTTTAGTAGATGCATTAAGGAAAATGCCATTTATTCAGATGGAACGATGAACTAGTATAAAATAAAATGGTTTCATAATCAGTATAAAAATTCTATTTTCCGGAAATCAATTTCAGTTTTTGCCAGGCTCTGAGATAAGCTTATTGCGTAGATTGACGAATATTACTCTTTTTTCTGTATAACCCATAGAGTATATGGCTGTAACTTTTTTCCCCGATCATTAAATAAAAATTAAAATGGAGACCTGGCAGCCCCAACCAATAACCGAAAAAACACAAAATGGTTAAAGCAAATTTTTAATTACACATTTATGGCGGGGCAGGGTGCCTCTGGAGAAGCCCTTTTAATGGCGCTCCGCCATAATTAACGATATTTTTTGTATCGCATTCACGGAGATACAAGTCAAGCGGAATGCGTCTGCTGTCGCCAATACCTTTTGGTCGCAAATTGATTTCGGAGCTTGGAAAATTAAATGCAAATATTGCAACGAAACGTTGCACTTGCGAAAGAGTACTGGGGCGAGTGTGGGCGGCGGAGGCATTTAAATTATTCCCCAGGAGCCGATGACACAATGGCTGGGAGGGAGCGGGCTTCCGCCTCGGAGTGGGCGGGCAGTAATAATGGGGACAGCGCCGGCACGTAGACAACTCTTTTGTCATATCAACATTTAACGTAAATTGTCGCATTGTGCATGTGAAGACGTGGCGGGGAGGCGGAAGGAGCGGCGTGAAAGGGGGCTGTGGGATGGCAGGCACTTAACACGTGACGATGATTTAATGGACAAAGGACCCAAAGGATATTGCTACAAGTTTGCCTGCAATTGTCGGCAGCATACCCCATTTTTTCAATACCTCACAATGCTTAGACACGCATGTAGGAATTATGCGTGTATTGTTTTGCATATCCAACTTTGTAACAAGCAGAAAGGATACAAAGAAGGATACTTCTCCCTGAAGAGTGGAGAGAAAACGACATAGAACCAGACACTTATTGCTTTTAATTGGCAGGACAACTGCTTTGATGGCCCTGTTTTTTAGCCAAGTCTGATGTTGTTCATGTTGTTGAAAGTCGTTTACAAGTGCTAATCACCTACAAGTCCATTTCCGTGTAATTTATAGAACAACTATAGCTCAAGGAATCCATCTAAATGCATTAAAAATATTCAAATATTTTCTCAAGAACTTCCCAAAACTTACTTCTCTGCCCAATTTGCCTCTAAGTTGCCTCGGATTAAACAAATCTGCTCAATTTTCTCCAATTTATTTGATTTTATTCAATTGCCCAGACTCTCATTTGGCCCAATCGAACCCGATAACAATTTTCTGTGATCAAATATTCCAAGGAAAGCTTCTAAATGCTGATTTTATTTACTGTCCACTGGCCCCACAACAAAGAAATAAAAATAAAACAGTAAGACAAAAGGAAAGCCCTAATCCGATTGAATAATTACATAAATCTCTGTAATATTAGCATTCCTCTGGAATCCATTTTTTGCGGCCAACCGCCTAACAATATTTTGTGGCATTCGAGGCGAAACAAAATAAAATGTGCAAAAAAATAGTCGGGCAAAAAATCGAAGCATAAATTTACAAGCAATCTGGCAGGCAAAGACCAGCCACGCCCCCTGTCCAGATTTTTCAGTCCATCCCCCCGCTGCCAGGCCCTGCATTATTTTTCCCATTTCAGCGTCCACGTTGCCCTTTATTGGACATTTAAAGCATTTGGCTCATTTGCATATTTGATTTATCGTCTCCAATATTGTAAGCAGCGTCCAACGCGGGCCACAAAAATCGCTTAACCTCCTCCCGTTTATTTTTCCCCCTATCCCACGACCCACGCCCCACCTGACTCTGAATCAGGATCTGATTGCGAGTCCTTAGCAGTATAATGCACTTTTTGTTAGCAACCGCATTTGACTCTCCTCTCCTTTCGTTTCTTTACAGGTCACAGCCACCGATGGCGATGTAGATAGACCAATAAATATTGTATATTTCCTGACTGGCCAGGGCATCGACCCGGATAATCCAGCGAATAGTAAATTCGATATAAATCGCACCACGGGCGACATTTTCGTGCTGAAGGTAAGTGCTCGCGTCCACCTTTCAACCTTTGGAACGCTTAAACAGGTTCCAATTCCGCTGCGCGACCGAGTCCCCTCGTAAAAAGAGTCCCCTAGTAATGAAAGCCAGTTAAAAATGTTCGGGCCACAGTGACAGAATGCCGCCCCTCTGGAATTTTCCGACAGCAAAGCGTGCAAATGGCGTGCAATGGCTAAAAAAAAGAAATAGCAAAAACAGGAAAATAACTTTTCGTTTGAGTTTCAACCGGGGGTACTCTCCATAAGCCCCAGGGGTCCGTTTGAGGGGAATTCGGCTTTGGCCGCTGCAATTGAGCCACCGTTTATGTACGCACAATGGCGCAGTTTATATTGTGTGACTAGTGAAAAGTCGAAAAAGCAAAAACGCGGGACTCTTGGGGGTCTACCCTGGATTTATGCGAGTCTCGGGTACTTGAATATATTTCATGCTCCAAGGACAAGGCCATAAATCCTAATAAAACAAATTATTGATGAAAAAAAGCCTGTTATGCCTAATTAAGTGCCAGTCTACCTTAACAAGGTTCACACTTTTTTAAACGGGAGTACTCGGAAACATGTTCAATATTTAACACTTTTTGTCGGCAGCACCATCGCGACTTCTGCAAATTGTAGAGCTTTCCACGCGGTTCGGTGGCGTATGATTAATTTAAAACTGTGTCAAACCGCACAATCACACAGCCCGTACACAAACACCCATGCCCACTCGCTTATGGCCACTCACCGAAAAAAACAATGACATTTAGATGCAAAAAAGTGCCACCGTCGGTTGTCAGATACATAGACTACAATTAATTTCAGACAAAGTCCATAAAAACAAATGACTCAAAGTGGCGGAACGGAGTGAATGAGGGCTAGTGCTGGCAAAAATATAGGATATCAAATATTGTAAAAACGTACTGATAAAAAATATGCACCATTAGTTAATGAAAACTACAATTTAATTCTTAAAAGACAGTTTTTCAAGCCAATAAATATTTTAACATATGGTTCTGATATTGTTATGATGAAAAAAATGTACAAAATAAAAATAGGAACATCGTAAATATTTTTGAAAATCATTTGCCAGCTCTAATGAATAGTTGGTCCCCATACTAACAAACTACCAACCTCAAAAGTCCCCCAATCCGATCTGGGTTCTGCATGAAATGTTCAAATGTTGCTCCTGGCGGTTTGCTTTATTTGTTTTATTGTTGCCGGATAGGGCATTTTCGTTGATGTCGCTGATGCGATAGGGATAAAAGTGGCTGGAGCTGCGGCTTGGCCTGGAATGGTGGTACCCAAGGGGGCGTGGCTGGGACAGCATGTGGCATTTGTGGTTTTGACGCTCTACAACCGACCGCATGTAAATGACGTTCGTCGTTCGTTATTGGTGCGCGGTTGCTCGCATAAAATTGAGTGTAAAATCGGGAAAGTCGGGAATGGAAAACCTACCGGGTAATGTGTGGAAAATGAAAAAAAAAAAAATAAAAATAGTTGAGAGCTAAGAGTGTTTTTTTAGGTCGGGATCGGCAGAAGGATGTCGGTTGTCGAACGAATTTAATTTGTAATTGCATCGCGTGTCACGTGGCCGGCAATCCAATTTTTTCCCGACTTTAATTGAGCGAACCGGGACTTCAAAGTTTATTTGCCAACAAGTGAGTGATTTTAGATGGTAGCCTGGTTAGAATTCATCCAATTGGACAGAATGAGTTTATCTTGTGGAGGTAAACTATTAAAAGTTTATACATTTACAGAGATGGTTCTTAAAGCCAGACACATTCAAAAGGCTAGCCTCTTTTGCAAACACTCAAGTATTCTGTTAGATAAAATAAATCTTGGGCCAATTCTTGGGCCATTTCGGAGTAAAGCCTTCGTTTACTTCAATAAGACTACGGAATTAATTCATCGTAAAAGCAAATTATACTTCAGGCCAGAATCAACCACAAACACACTGAATATATTTCGTTTAGGTGTAGTCCCTTCGTATTAGCTGAGCAAGCAGTGTCCAAGACAATTTGAATAGAAAGACGCCCAGGACCAAAAGCAAGGTAGACAAACATGTGTAACTGGCAGGACATTTCAATTCAATAGGTGGTCTTTGTTTCTGATTTGGCAACGCAATTTTGTTTGGATAACTCGTTTAATGAGAAATCTAATAAAACAGTGGTCTGTAAGCCATTTACCACAAAGATAATAGATAAATACACTGACAAGAGCAGAGATTAATAACCCTTTCATTTACAGCCCCTGGATCGAGATCAGCCCAATGGTCGGCCACAATGGCGCTTCACTGTGTTCGCCCAGGACGAGGGCGGCGAGGGCCTGGTGGGCTATGCCGACATCCAGGTGAACCTGAAGGACATCAACGACAATGCGCCGCAATTCCCACAGGGCATCTACTTCGGCAACGTCACCGAGAACGGCACCGCCGGCAGCCCCGTGATGACCATGTCCGCCGTGGACTACGACGATCCCAACGAGAGCACTAACGCCAAGCTAATCTACTCGATTGAGAAGAATGTCATCGAGGAGGAGACGGGGGCGCCCATCTTCGAAATCGAGCCGGAGACGGGTCTCATCAAAACGGCCGTCTGCTGTCTGGACAGGGAGCGCACCCCCGACTACTCCATCCAGGTGGTGGCCATGGACGGCGGAGGCCTCAAGGGTGAGTGAAACCGAACCGGTCCAGTCAGGGCTGCGATTCAATCAGGCAGATTGTTTGTCAACCTTTGACCCTCGAGGGAGTTTTCCAAGAAATATGAGGCGCCATGGCAATCGCTTTTCTTCGGGGCTGTCAGATTGTCGGCCCTGTTGTGGCTTGTTATTCATTTCATTGCAAAATCATGGGTTAGGGGCTTGGCAAATATTTATAATGTCCCCCGTTTCTCTCACTGTATCTGTCTGTAATTGACGCCGTTTTGTTTATCACAGGAACCGGCACCGCCTCGATTCGCGTCAAGGACCTTAACGACATGCCGCCGCAGTTCACCAAGGACGAATGGTTCACCGAGGTGGACGAAACGAACGGCACCTACATCCCAGAGACCCCCATCCTCACCGTGACAGTGCAGGACGAGGACGAGACCAACACGTTTCAATACAAGGTGGTGCCGAACAGTGGCTTCGGCGCGGATAAGTTTGCCATGGTGCGGAACGCGGACGGGACAGGATCCCTGAAAATCATCCAGCCACTGGACTACGAGGACCCTCTGCAGAGCAGCGGCTTCCGGTTTCGCATCCAGGTGAACGACAAGGGCGAGGACGTGGCCACCGGCAGCGACAAGTACCATGTGGCTTACTCCTGGGTGGTGGTGAAGCTGCGAGACATCAACGACAACGTGCCCAAGTTCGATCGGGAGCACATCGAGGTCTCCATCTACGAGGACACCAAGGTGGGCACCGTCCTGGAGCAGTTTCGGGCCACGGACGCCGATCAGGGGGGCCACTCCAGGGTCACCTACAAAATAGTCCGCGCCACCAACCGCCGCCGCCAGTTCGCGATTAGCGACAAGGGGGCGGTCAGCATCCAGAGGCCCCTGGACAGGGAGACCGCCGACAGGCATCACATCCAGGTCCTGGCCGTCGACGACGGGACTCCTGCCCGCACTGCTACTGCCACGCTGATGGTAATTGTGAAGGACGTGAACGACAATGCCCCGGAGTTTGCCCAGGACTACAGGCCCGTGCTGCCGGAAAATGTGTCTGGCAGGAAAATTGTGGAGATAACCGCCAAGGACGCGGACGACCGGCTGAGGGGCAACGGTGGTCCTTTCACCTTCCGCCTGGATCCATTGGCCAGTGACGAAATCAGAGCCGGGTTCAAGGTGGAATACGATCGCAGTAAGTGTTTAAAATTTAAAACTAAACAGGTGCCAGAAAAAAGTAAAGCCTATTAAATATTGATGCTAGGCTTCTAACCGCAAAAAATGCATATTAAAATATTAAAAGCTGCGTGCAAGGTTAGAGCAAATCGCTTTGCATAATTAATTATGGAAAAATAGTAAACGCTTAGTTAACCCGAACATCTGTCATGGAGGCTGGGCATAAAAAATGGCTAATGAGGAGTAATCGGCAACTCTTTGGGACCATTCGCAATGAAGCATTTTTAATGCATTAGTTTGATTAAAAATGCATTCAATGAGATATGGGACACCAATTTATACTAATTACGCATCTCATTTAAGTAATTATGCAAATTAATAGTATGCGAATAGCCGACTTAATTCTTTATTTATTTAGGCATACGGACTCAACAATTGTTTACAGCCGAATAATTAATTCGGCGTTTCAAAATCAATTATTTATTTTGGGAGCCAAATGCCGATGGTACGATTCATCCAGATTCCAGACACCTGACACTTAAACACGTGCCAGGTCAGCAAAGCGATTGCAAGGAAAAAAGGGAGCGGGGGAGGCATTGATAAAAGCACATCAATGAGGTCGGTTGGACCCTAAACAGAGACAGAGGGATGCCCAAGTACAAACGAGAATCGGGAAAAATTGCCCTGAAATTCAAACTGGCAAACTGGAAAAGCAGAAAAACAGAGGAGCTGGTCGAGAAAATTGAAAAACTCGCTGTCAATGTCAGCAACAGCATTCAAGTGTCACCTCAAATTTTCTTTCATTTGATCGATTTTATTGGGTTGCTCTCCAAACTTTTTTATCTTTTTGTTCGGGGTTTTTGTTTCAAATAACTCCCAACAAGGGCTTCACAAAAATTTCCATTTTCCAAGCAGAGGACGCAGAATTGTGCACTGAGAGATATTCAATGGGGCAAAGTAGCTAAAGTTTCATTTCATAAAAAAGAAAGGGTCTGGGTTTTTTCGAGTGCTGTTTCGAGTCCTCGAGGGAAACCATTAAAGGAAAACACCAAATCGCAAAGAAAACAAAAGACGTCCAGACATGGTCAACTCCATCAACTGCGATGATGCCTCCAGGCATCAGATTCTCCGCCATTCATGGCCTCCACTGGCCAGTTTCTCTATCTCTGCCACCCACAGTTGGTTTTACACTACACTTTTTTGTGTCGGTTGCCAACTTTGTGGCACTGTGGCACAAACAATGCTGATGATGCTGATTGTCTGAAACATAATTCAATCACCATTACTATGCAAACAGAGTTTGGTTTAGCGTTTGATTTCGACTTTGATTGTGTGGCGATTGCCTTGAACGAACGAACTAAATTGGTCGGAGTGAAGCAGATCCGGGCGAAACTTCGGTTTCGGTTTTCGAATTGTTTGATTTCAGCGATTTCTGTTTAGATGTGCAAATGCAGTTGAGGGAATTTTCGGCTAATGGAAGGCTTTTCCTTTCCCACAATTTCCATACGGAGTGCAGCCCTTTTAAAATGGAAAAGTTAATCAATTTTGAATTTGAAGCCTGCCAATCGAATGGACATTGGCATTTAATTTCTGGCTTTATTCAGTGTATTTCTAAGAATATTCCTTTTATACTCACACGTTATAACTTCAATTCCAGGAGGCGACAATGGCAATGGAGTGGCTATAGTTTCCTCTCTGCGCCCCTTTGATCGCGAAGTAAAGAAGTCCTATGCCATTCCCATCGAGATCAAGGACAACGGAGCTCCGGCCATGACGGGAACCAGCACTCTCACAGTGACCATTGGCGACGTGAACGACAACAAGATGCAGCCGGGCAGCAAGTCCATGCTGGTCTACAACTACCAGGGCCAGTCGCAGGACACACCGATTGGCAGGGTCTACGTCAACGACCCGGACGACTGGGACGTGCCGGACAAGAAGTACTACTGGGAGGTGCAGGAGCATCAGAGGTTCAAGCTGGACACAGACACGGGAATGCTGACAATGAAAGCGGGAACTAGGCGAGGACGCTACTCACTCAAGTTCAAGGTTTACGATCGAGAGCATGGCCAGGAGGATATTCCCTCAAACCTGAGCGTGACAGTGCGCGACATAACGGCGGAGGCGGTCCAGCAGGCCGGCTCCATGCGGCTGGCCCACATCACCGACGAAGACTTTGTGAGGACCTGGAACCCGGTCAAGAACCAGGTGGAGCCATCCAAGCTGGAGCGATTCCGAAACAAGCTGGCTGAGCTGCTATACACGGACCGAGACAACGTAGACGTCTTTAGCGTCCAGCTACGCGCGGACTCTCCCTATCCCCTCACGGATGTCCACTTCGCGGCGCGATCCGCCACCCAGCAGCCCTACTTCAAGGCCGTCCGGCTGAACGGCGTGGTGCAGATGCACCGCGAGGAGATCGAACAGGAGGTGGGCCTCAACATCACCATGGTGAACATCAACGAGTGTCTGATCGAGGGCCGCGGAAAGTGCGGCGCTGGATCCTGCACATCGCGGGTGGAGCTGGGCAAGAAGCCGTACACAGTCAGTGTGAATAGGACAGCCCTGGTGGGCGTTCGGCTGGAGATAAGCGCTGAGTGCATGTGCCGGGCCAGAAACTTCACCGGCCAGGACCACAACTGCAGGACCCACCTCTGCTACAATGGCGGCCGGTGCGTGGAGACCCGAAACGGTCCCAAGTGTGTGGCCTGTCCGGTGGGCTACAACGGACCCCGCTGCCAGCAATCCACTCGTAGCTTCCGCGGCAACGGCTGGGCCTGGTACCCTCCCCTGCAGCTCTGCCAGGAGTCCCATCTCAGTCTGGAGTTCATTACTCGAGAGGCAGATGGCCTGATCCTTTACAACGGCCCGATTGTGCCACCAAAACCAGGAGAGACGGTAATTAGTGACTTCATAGCCCTCGAAATGGAACAGGGATACCCGAGACTCCTGATAGATTTCGGATCTGGAACGCTGGAGCTGCGGGTGAAGACCAAGAAGACCCTGGACGACGGCGTGTGGCACAGGCTGGACATATTCTGGGACTCGGAGAACGTGCGGATGGTGGTGGACTTCTGTCGCACTGCCGTGGTTTCCGAATTGGAGGACGGAACTCCGCCAGAGTTCGATGACAACGCCTGCCAGGCTCGCGGGCAGATCCCGCCCTTCGCCGAGTCCCTGAATCTGAACCAGCCGCTCCAACTGGGAGGCCTCTACCGACAGCACTTCGACCAAACCCTCTACAACTGGCAGTACGCTTTCAGCTCCAAGGGCTTTGACGGCTGCATTCGCAATGTGATCCACAACTCCGAGCATTACGACCTAGCCTTTCCGGCCCTGGCCCGGAACAGTTTCCCAGCCTGCCCACAAACGGACGAGGTGTGCCTGAAAACAGAGCACACGGCCCGGTGCTGGGAGCACGGGAACTGCGTGGCCAGCCTGGTGCAGGCCAAGTGCCACTGCCAGCCGGGCTGGATGGGCCCCGGGTGCAACCTGCCCACCATTCCCACCACCTTCAAGGCCCAGAGCTACGTAAAGTTCGCCCTCAGCTTCGAGCCTGACCGCTTCTCCACCCAACTGCAGCTGAGATTCCGCACCCGGGAGCAGGGCGGGGAGCTGTTCCGGGTCAGCGATCAGCACCACCGGGAGTACGCCATCCTGGAGCTGCGTCGAGGCCATCTCCAGTTCCGCTACAATCTGAACTCGCTGCGTAACGAGGAGCAGGTCCTGGGCCTGACCGCCGTAGCCGTGAACGACGGCCAGTGGCATGTGATTCGCATCAGCCGCTACGGCTCGGCCGCCCTCATGGAGCTCGACGGCGGGGAGTCCAGGCGGTACAACGAGTCCTTCCACTACACCGGCCACCAGTGGCTGAGCATCGACAAGCAGGAGGGCGTGTATGCTGGCGGCAAGGCCGAATATACGGGCGTCAAGACCTTTGAGGTGCAGTCCGACTTCCAGCGGAGCTGCTTGGACGATATCAGGTGAGGTGTTTTCTCCTTCAAGGGTGGCTTGAAAAGTGTCATTTTATTCACTAGCAAAGAGGACTCTACACTCTGCCATCCTTACCCATATATTCCCTCCTAAGGACACCTCTTTGCTAGCTCTTCGATTGTTGACAGTCATGCATAATTCCTGATTTTCCCTTTTCCGGTTGCAGGCTCGATGGCAAGCACCTCCCGCTGCCCCCCTCGATGAACGGAACCCAGTGGGGCCAGGCCACGATGGCCCGCAACCTGGAGCGCAACTGCCCCTCGAACAGGCCCTGTTCGAACGTCATCTGCCCGGATCCCTTTGACTGCGTCGACTTGTGGAACGAGTACGAGTGCACGTAAGTAATCCAAAAAGTGCCTTTTTCATTTCTAACTAATTACTTGTTTGCCGGTAAAGGCCTCATGCAAGAAATATTAAATTTGCATGTGAAAGGTGGTTGAAATTTTGCCATATCGAGTTCCGGTATCCTTTCAGCGCCAGTGCCATTAGGACAGAAGCCAAACGAGCGTGGTTTGACACACATTTTTCTGCGAAATACTCCCCTGACATTTTCCAGATGCAAGCACACAGACAAAGCCAAACAGCAAATTGACTCCGAATGCAAAACAAATAATATCAATTGTCATGGCCTGTCTCCCCTCGCTCATGCAAAACCAGACACTGCACTCGGAGAAACTCTAGAACCAGTATCCCTCCCAATCGAGTGTTCCCTTCGGATGGAGGATGACCTTTTCTGTCAGTGCCTCTATGTAGTAACATATACATTTGCATAGCCCAGAATCTGGGGCACGACTCCTGATCCTAGAGCTTCTGCAACACCTCATCGATGATGGGTTGCCGTTCCATCGCCCGAGAGCAGAGCACATTTTCCACATCATTAGTTTTTGCGGAGTGACTCCATTCGGAGAAGCGACGACAGCCACCCAGCACCCAACAGCCAGCAAGGACACCCAATCCGGCACTGCATCATGTCTACTTTTTCTCGCATTTCCCCCATCTCGTCCTAGGAACTCGCAGGAAAACTAAGCACCCCCAGCTGTGAGCTTCTCGCTCCATTTGCTTTCGGGAACAGAAACATCTGGGCCTGCTGCTTTCTAACACGTGTTCGCCTGGCTGGCCTCCTTGCGGTCTCTTTGCTCTCGGCCCGGCTTTCTTCTTCCGGCTCTTTAAATAAATTTAAATAGTGGCACACGTTTCGCCTTCAGGTGGCGACGTGTCATAAATTATGCTTACTTTAGCCTCAATTTCGCTGCCAGTTGTGGGCAGCAGTTAACGCAGTGTGCCGGCCGCGTGTAGAATTTGTGTCACTCAGCCAGGACACTAAGATCCTGCACGCGGAGGAGGAGCTGTCCTCAATTGGAATACGAAATGACTTCAATTTAAATGTGTAACTTGTGGCGAAGACGAGCTCCCCCGTGCTCCAAGTTAAAGCTTTAATTTTCACACCGTTCGGGTATCCAGGGATATAGATCCATCTCGCCGCAACTTCACGCCCTCGCAGCTTGGGGGAGATTCATGGGGGAATTATCCCTATCCTATCCCTTGTTTATAAAACTTTCTAGAAGTAGAAAAAAAAAAGTTTATGGCTTTGCCAGGAAACATAACTACACTTATCATAGAATGCATTTTCAAATTAAAATTCCCTTTTAATAAAAAGTTTAAACAGAACATTATGATGGTGTTGTTTTAGGATCTTTGTTATTATTTTTAAAGCATTTTAATCACGGTCTAAAGCTCATAATTCTTAAAATGCAAAATATATGAAAACGTTTATATTTTTCTGTTTCGAATTTTTTGGTATTCTTTCAAGCGTAACCACAAAATATTTTTGGCAGAATACACATTTTTGGTCCTGACATAATCGCCTCTGAATTTCTAATTTCATTGCAGTTGCAGCGAGGGTCGGATCATGTCCTCGGACACGAAGGGCTGTGTGGACCGGAACGAGTGCTTGGACCTGCCCTGCCTGAACGGGGCCACCTGCATCAATCTGGAGCCGAGGCTCCGGTATCGGTGCATCTGCCCGGAGGGCTATTGGGGCGAGAACTGCGAGCTGGTCCAGGAGGGGCAACGCCTCAAGCTGAGCATGGGCGCTCTGGGCGCCATATTCGTCTGCCTGATTATCATACTGAGTAAGTACCGAATGCCACGCGGCCGGCCCCTCTAAGCTGCCCCAAAGAATGCCCCATTCATGTGTGACAATTAAGCGGCTTAAGCGGCAACATGCTTCCCTTTCCATTCCGCCCGAAGTTTTTGCCCGGACTCTGTTTTTCCACATTAATGCAATTTTCTGGGAGGAGCAGCCCCTCGAAAACGACGCCCCTGACATCTGTTTGGACAGTAGCGAGTGTGTGGGGCTGCGAAAAAAATAAAACAAGCCGGAACGAAGGGTCAACGTGGGAGACCCGTGCATTTTCAGCAACATAAAGCGGCAACAAATCTTGTATTCGTCGTTTTTTTACAACACTTTTTTGTGCCCAGTCAGGGGCAATTTGTTGGATTATCCGGACAAAAAAGTGGGAAAACAACATTTACATTGAGGCTAATTAAACTAGGAGAGTGGGGGGAAAAAATGAATAAATTTCCTTAGCGTGGGAGACTCAAATCCTAGTTTATTTTGGAAACATATTGCAGCTTCGTTACAATTTTATGTTAAATCTGACCTTTGAAGAAAAAGTTTAAAAAGGATTACTTGCAGCCCTGAAAGTTTTGGTAAATAAAAATAGGACATCGGTTGAGTAAATTAAAAACGTTTTTCAATTAATAAACTCTCCTCTGAAATACTCACATATTTGCAGCCTGTTTTAAACGAAAGGCATTTTAATTCGATGCCTAAGCCAATTTGGGCCACTTTTATGGCTTTGGAAAAAAATCGTTGAAAATGGAATAAAATTTGGGCAAAATTCTGGGCACTTAATGGATTTTCGTTACGAGTGTTAAGTGGCTTTGGCCATTTGGTTATTTAGCCTTCCCATCAACCGTCCTCCCAGCCAACCGATGCAAATGCGTTTTCACTCTCACGCACTGTGCGCGACAATCTATTTTCGATTCGCCGGGCTCGTCTGGGATTTGAAAGGATTTTCAATTAGCGTAACATTTTCGCTTCTGTTCAGATTTATTTTACATACATTCCTGGGCTTTGGCAGATTGCCCTCGACTGCCCCAGCCGCTCCTTTCAATCGCCAATTTATTTTAGGCCATATTTAAAAGTGACGCTGATTTATCCAGCCTTTGAATTTTGGTTTCGGGGGCGACTTTAACGAGTCCTTGAGTCTGGGGAGAACAGAGGCCTCTGTTGTTCTAAAGGATCCTTGAGCTAATTAGTCGCTGCTGAGGCAGATAATTACGCAGTTGGCCGCGGGGCGGACACGCCGAGGAACAGCGCCTGGAAGTGGCCATAAAACCGCTAAACCGCAAAATAGGCGCAATAAATAAACGGCGAGCTGCCGCGCACAAGAGTACTTTCATCATTGTCGTCCTTTTTTATGATGTGAAAATATCTACAGGAACCGAAACATAAAATCTGACAACGCCAGCCAGATTCCCGACGGCTTGTTTTCCTTTCGTGTTGATTTGCCTTAAAGTGGCAGCAAGGACAACGACCACTACAACGACAACGGCAATGGCAACAAAAACTAAATAATTATCTAACATTATTTACAGTCGACGCTTTTTCATGTCTTGTCTTGGTCCTGGTGCTCGTCCTGTGTAATCTGTGAATCGCTGAACTGTACTTTAGCATAAAGTTTCAAGTGGAGCAACTAAAGAGGACCTCCACTGCCTCCTCTAGCTGCACCCCTTGATGAGCTGACCTGGTCAGCAGGTCCTGGCCGGCAACAAGATATTGCTCGGGTCCTTGCCTGTATAGTTAAGTGCAAACAAAGGCCGTTAAAGAGCTTTCGGTTCAGCTTTTGTCCATCTTACAGGATATTTTTGCCTTTGTTTTAGCAAGTTTTTATGTAGGTTACTAGATTTTGCCCCAGCCTCTCCCCTGTTTTTCTGTTTTTGGACTTGGACTTGGGCTTGGTTTATTTTCCTAGGCGGAGGTAATGTTGATTAAAGGTTGATGAATGAACAGATGGCCCTGACCGGCTTGGCAAAATATTGTTCAGTTTATCCCTGACGTAAGTAAGCCTTTAACATCTATCTGCCCGGCAGAGCTCTGGCAATCTGAGCATTTTAAATGCAAATTACAACAAATTTCTGATTTTTTAAGCCAATAACTAGCTTTGTGGTTGGCTGGACTTTTGGGCACGTAAAGCCAAAAATTGTTTGCAATAACTTTTCCCAGACTGGTGATTTTTATTTTCGTTTTTAAGTCACGTCTCGGCTAACTAAATTTTTGGCTTCGAATAGCCGACTTTAACTTTAAAATTAAATTGTCTTAATTTTAGGAACAAATGTAATTAAGGGCAAATTATTTATCCTTTTAGTTCTGCAAACTCTGGGATTAAAACTATTTCATAATTTTTTCTATACTTTATTACTGATAAAAGTTGGGAAACAGATTTGGCTTTTTAGGCGAATTATCGGAGATTGCTGTTGGGCGGCTCTGGACCTGGGTGGGGATTGTCCATTAATAGGAAAACTTGTGCGGCAAGATAATTTAGAAACTTTGGAGCTCCTTTCTGCGGAGAGAGACAAATTTAATGCAGTTCTTGCCATCGCCAGGAGCTGGCAATGAACTATTTTCGGTTCGGTTGCGGGTTTTGGGTTTGTGTCTTCTGTTGCAACTTTATGCTGTAATTGTTGCATTAAACTTTGTAGCTCCCGAGCGAAGACCAACTGCAAGCTTCACTGGGAAAAGCATCTGCCCTGAAAAGACAACAAAAGTTTAAAAAGCCGAATTCTTGCCAGTCCAGGCTTGGATTTTTTCCGAGTGCAGGCCGGATAGTGCGCTTTCAACATTGAGAGTCATAGTCATTTGGGAACTAAGCGGATTACGAGCAGGCCAAAAACATTCGCATCCCAAATGCACATTTCAACTGTCTCCAAGTCGTCCTGCCACGAGGACTTGTTAAGCTCCGTCTCCTTCTGCGTTTCTGCGTTTGCCATTTTACTTTAGTTTGCTTAAGTAGCATAAAGTTATTAATAAGTTTCTCTCCACTCAGCCACTTGCAACATATTCTGGGCAAATTCTTCGGTTCTGTTTGTCGTGTAAACATGACCCCTCCGTCCAGAAAAAACAAAACGGAAAACTACTCGCAGGACTACTCGAGTAGGACTTGGGCGCAGACTTGCATTTTATCATCTGCGCTCCAGTTGACAGGAATATTAACTTGGCTCGGGACTGTGGGGTTAAGCAAACAGCTAAGTAAAAATAATTAAAACTCTGTCTTGGCTTTTCCAAAATGACAAGCCCGCCAAGAATGTTTCTTCGGGACTTCCAGCCACTTCTCTGGTTGGTTTTTAATGCAGCAGCACTTCTTCTGGGCTAAGCGGATTCATTAGTTGCAATAACTGCCAACTGGCTCTCCCAAGGACAACGAAAAAAGGTCATTTATAAAGAATCCACCAGATTTACAAACCCGTTTTTTAGCTTCTAAGTGAAAGTATGTAATGGGACATGGTATTTGAACGATTTCTCTGGGTTGGATTTTCAATATTTCAACTTTATTTTTCAAAAAAATGTATTCCATTTTCCACTGTGTCAGTATTGGCGCTTTTTTCCTTCGTACAAGAAGAGAGTGGAAACTGGAAGTAGGAAGAGAAAAACATTTTTCCTACATTTAATTACCTTCATTAAACGTAAATGGAGTTGTTGTTATGGCTTTGACAGTTAACAGACAAGACACTCCATTGCCGCTTTACTGCAAATTTGTTTCGGAATTTCTGCCCTCTTTTCAGTAGAAAAAGTACACCAGGATAATGAGTCCTGGCTGGAAAGAATTTAAACAAACATAACCCCATTAAAAAGCCAACTAATTTAATGTCTGATTGTGACTCTTTCAGTACTAGCCCTGATTTTTGTGCTATACAGCCGGAAACGCAAGACAACCAAAAAGAAGAAGCGCTCCGGACCCGAAAAGGATGTCCGCGAGACGGTCATCAGCTACGAGGACGAGGGCGGCGGAGAGGACGATATGACGGCCTTTGACATTACGCCACTGCAAATACCAATCAGCGCCCAGGGAGGACCTCCGGACATCGCCGCCTGCAAGATGCCCATAATCTGTGAGTAAACAACCGGCGAGTGCCAGAGCTTGGCCAAGTAATTGGCGCCTGTTTGCCCCCAGATCCCGTGATGACGCTGCTGCCACCTGGCCAGGAGCTGAACGTGGCCTACCTGATGGAGGAGCGCAAGCAGCGCATCGACAAGGATCCCAACGCCCCGCCCTTCGACGACCTGCGCAACTTCACCTTCGAGGGCAGTGGCAGCATCGCCGAGTCGCTTAGTTCGCTGGCATCCGGTGGGTGTTTCAATTAAATTACAAAAAAATGTTTTAATTTTTATAGAAAAATGTATTATTCTTATTACACAGTTATCTATAGAAGTATCAATACTTATTCTCTACTCGGATAATCATCTAATCGTATTCTTTCCTTTTCATTCCAGGCACTGATGATGAGAATCAAGACTTTAACTATCTACAGAACTGGGGTCCACGTTTCAATGCCCTGGCCGCCATGTACGTGCACGATAAGGCGAAAGCAAAGCAGCTCCCATCGGACGGCGGAGGAGCTGGAACATCATCATCGTCGCCGCCTCTCGGAGGAGTCGGAGTCGGAGGTGCCGGAGGAGTGAATTCGGTGGACGGCAGTGGCAGTGTCCTGGCGGTTGTGGCCACCGGCAGTGGGGCAGGTCCTGGCGGTGGCGGTGTCAGTGGGATAATGTCGCCGCCTGATGTCGGAAAAGTTGTATTATAAAAATAAATAGTTAAGATGTAGTTAAAAATGATGTTTCAGCTGTAAGCTCGATGGCACATGCCGAATTTTCAGACGCCCCCACGCCCGAAGCGGCGTGTGTCTGGTTAGGGTTAATTGTGTGTACATGTGGCTATCTGTGGAATTTAAGACTTAATGTTTAAGGTTTTAGGTGTTCTCTCACATATAAGATATTGGAGTGTTTCAAATACGAATGGGTTCTCGAAGTAATAATCCACAGCTTCCTGTTAAAGGACACTAATTCTGTACCATTTCAGTTTCTTTTCAAAAAAAAATTATCAAAAAATTAATATAAAATGTTAAAAAATATAGTTTCCCAGACTTCTAACTAAAACTTTTCTTTAAGCCCTTCCCTATCTTTGGAAATTATTGAATATTAAACTGAACCAACTGAGAAATCAATAAATAAATCTTTGAATAAAGAATAGATATATTATAAATTACATTAGGCATTCCAAAATGGAAAAAGAGTTTATAAAACTTGCTACATACTAGTTAAAGACCCTGTATAAATACGGCATTAACTCTCTAGCACGTAAGTTCTACGCAACTAAACCGAAATTTTCCCCAAACCCCAGACCCCAGTCACCGCTCCTCGAAAACGCGGGGACCGAAAATGTTGAACGTTGCAACTTTTGTACGGCGGCACCGACAGGGGAACGTGTCCGTGTCCGATTGCCACCGACCAGGTGGCACCTAGAAACCGAGGCTGAGAGCTGCCACCGAACCCGCTGCCACGCTGCCGCAAAAGTTTGCAGAGCAAAGTAGAAATTTAATAAGAGGAAAAAATCATAACTAACTTTGGTGAAATTTAAAACTAAACGGACGGAGCGGAATGGAACGGCGGAAACGGCAAACTCAACTGTAACATAATTTTGTAAATAATAAATTCTGTAATTTAATGATTGCTCTTCACCATTAAAGTGAAGCCAAACCGAAACCGAAAAAAAGAAAAAAACCATTGAAACCAACTAATAGACTAATTGCGTAAATCTAAACCTATACCGAAACCGATAATGAAAACGAAATCGAAACCAAATACGAGTGTTGATCAAACCAAATTCATATTTCTGCATTTACTAGCAACTACACAACCAGTACAGAAAATGAAATATTAATATTAAAACTGTATTATGAGTCATACACGAAGGGTTATTACATTTACGTTAGTTAAAGGACAATTTGTTAGTAGTTAGCGTCTAAGCATACTTTTTTAAAAATCAATAAAGCCCATACAAAAAAAAAAACAAAAACTAAAGCGGTTTTTGGGAGAAACGCATTTCCATGCAAATACCCGCATAGCATATTTTTTACGATTTCTGGGTGGCTGCCAATCCGGCAATCCGCTTGTTGACACTGCCTAATGATCCTTGCTCCGCTCCCATTGCCCCCGACCACCTTCCGGCCAGACACTCCGGCGTTTGGAGCCGTAAACGCGCCGTTAAGACCCGACAAAGGTGTCCGAGTGGCAGCCGCAGCAGGGAGGCCACTTTGAGCGCCTCCTGCTAAGTGAAACCACTAACCATACAGCATATAGACAACCCATTTCATACAACGAAAATGGACGCGAAAATTTCTTGCGACAGGCCCCAGCAGGCCCCAGAGCGGATTTCTTACGCTCTCTTACGCTCATCGTTCGTTCATCTTACGCTCATTCTCGCAATAAATGTTTTCTGTTTCTCAGTCTCTAAACGGAGCGCGATGAAGAAGGTTGGCCTGCGCTTCGGTTGATCTTTGTATGTATGCGTGTCACACATTCACATACATGGGTGTATGTGTGCGTGCGATTTCGTTTCGAAGCCAGCGCACAAAATTTTGATTTTTCTTACTTTTAAGGCTTGCTACCCTAACAAAATTCGGGTATTCGTTATTTGATGAAATGACGAAAGAAATTATATTATTTTTTATTTTATTTTTTTTTATTATTTCAGCATACATTTTTAATTTATTTAGGAATAAGATTAAGTGTTAGTAGTAAAATGTTTTCTGTATATATATTTTTACGAATCATTAAAAATCAATATACTGAGAAAGTGTCAGAGTATATTTCGGTCGGAGTCACTTAAAGCGCCGATTGCTTTTAAGTTTTTGTTGTTCTGCAAGAGGCTTGTGCATGCCTACTCTAACGATGGAATGATTTTTAGGGGAGGGTGAAGACACGAAAACAGCTGATGGACTTGTTTACCTTTTTTGTTTACAATTTTTCAGGCACTTGTTATTATATTTTGGGTTATTGTGAGATTTAATTAAATTATTGTCGTTAATTTAATAATTTCCTTATATATATTTCCTTATATATAATAACTTTAAAAAGTAATTTAATTCTTCACCCGTCTTCACCCTCCCCTAAAAATCATTCCATCGTTAGAGTAGGCATGCACAAGCCTCTTGCAGAACAACAAAAACTTAAAAGCAAACGGCGCTTTAAGTGACTCCGACCGAAATATACTCTGACACTTTCTCAGTATATTGATTTTTAATGATTCGTAAAAATATATATACAGAAAACATTTTACTACTAACACTTAATCTTATTCCTAAATAAATTAAAAATGTATGCTGAAATAATAAAAAAATATAATATACAAAATAATATAATTTCTTTCGTCATTTCATCAAATAACGAATACCCGAATTTTGTTAGGGTAGCAAGCCTTAAAAGTAAGAAAATCAAAATTTTGTGCGCTGGCTTCGAAACGAAATCGCACGCACACATACACCCATGTATGTGAATGTGTGACACGCATACATACAAAGATCAACCGAAGCGCAGGCCAACCTTCTTCATCGCGCTCCGTTTAGAGACTGAGAAACAGAAAACATTTAATGCGAGAATGAGCGTAAGATGAACGAACGATGAGCGTAAGAGAGCGTAAGAAATCCGCTCTGGGGCCTGCTGGGGCCTGTAGCAAGAAATTTTCGCGTCCATTTTCGTTGTATGAAATGGGTTGTCTATATGCTGTATGGTTAGTGGTGAAACGGAGCGTCCTGGCAGCTAACAGCCTGGCAGTCAGGCAGCCAGGCAGCCTGGAATTCAACGGAGCGTTTGACAGGCCAACATGCATTGCCTCTTACGCAAGCCAGAATCTGTCGGCACTGTAGATGGGCGATTGGTGGCCACGTTTTTTCTAGGCCGTGAAAAATCCTGAGCAGTGACCTTTGAAATTTTTCGGTTTAGGTTGTTTAGCCCCCACTCCTGTCTTTTTCTCCCGCGCATAATAAACCAGACTGCTTTGAGCTACCGATAGTCACCAGCCATCAATTTATCCTCCCAGCTTCTCGGGACGCGGAATTTATGGTTTTATTTTAGAGAAGGAGTGAGTACACTCGTAGGTAAGTTGAAAGTCGTGTAAATTCCTACAGCTTCAGAAACTCTGTTCAATCCCAAACATAATTAAAATATTGCACTTCGCTGGAATCAATAGTTTACCAGCTTTCCTCGAAACCCCAATCAGTATTGAATAGTTTGCAAGACAAGCCAACAACCTGCCAAGTAGCTAATTAGTGGCATTAACACGGAGATTCTCAAAGTTGCCCAGAGCACCGGGAGGCAACCCATCCAGTTTCCAGACATAAATACAAGTTGGCTTAGATGTAAACACAAATTATAGGCAACGAGGCGTATGGGTAATATTATGGCTTCAGGGCAAGCCGAGTCAAGCACAAAAGCCCTCCCAAGTCGGTCCAGAAAGTAAATTAATAAACCCACATTAGATTAATAACCGGGTTGCAATAAATAAATTTCCATAAAGTGGCCGAAATTACAGTATCTGTTTTTTAAATCTCATGGCATCCATGAATTAATTCAATGTTTTCCATAAATATGCAAATATTGGCATAGCGTAACGAGACGGAAATGCAGATGCAATATTTGGAGACCGCTCGCATTCCGTTCAGGGCAGACCATCCAGATTTTATGCTAATTACATTGATTCTCACCCGATTTGGTGGCCCAGCCCGCTTTTCTCCACACAACCTGCTTTGTCCTGCGAGATAAATTATTAAAAGTCATGCAATTTGTTTAATTATTTTGCCCGCAATTTGTTTCGCTGTATTTTTAGCCTAATGTTTATGGATTAGCTTTGCGTTGGGTTCCACGCACCGTCGGATTCGCGTTACATGGCTCTGAAATTTTAATTTCCATTCGGAGACCATTACTTAGCGCAAATAAGCGGTATTAGCAGGGATGTGCTATTGTTTTTAAGTCCATTTTCGGGTGTTTGGAGTTTGAGAAAATGCACTAAAGGCAAATGACCAGCGAAAATGACAGGCAAAAACGAGAAAAACATTATAATTAACCTCCCGGACTAAATTGGCCGAAATTTTGAATAAATTATCGCATTACCATCAAGCTCAATTACGTGTTTGGATGTTTCTATTACAAAGGTAAAAGGTCGCCAATACTGTGGGAAAGGATACACAATTCTGCCAAAATTTAATAAGTTTTTAAAAATAAATATATAAAGTGTAATAATTTGTATATAAAGTGTATAATTTAACATTTAATATTTTATACATTCTTCAGGCAACATCACTAGATGGCGCAAAACGTTTGTGGCGCCATCTATTAGTGGTGCTATATTCAAAATGCGCCATCTACATAACATGTAAGGAACTTACGTGCCAGGAAGTGTGTACACACCCCTGAAAAAACTTTAGTTTTAAATGTATCGTTATTTTGTATAAAAGAGGCAGTTTTAGAATTTACAAAAATTAATATAAATAATTAAAAGTTAGTATGAATTTATTTTGAAACGATAAGAAAAAAGCTTATATTTCCAATGCTGACCCACATTTTTAAAAAATCGACATATTACATTAACTTTGACACACCAGCCGCCAAATGCTAATCAAGCCACTTCATTCAACAAAACAATTGTTAAAGAAGCGAGAAAAATGCGAGAAAAAAGCCATTCTCACGCCCCAACAGGCCGACAAATAAAAAGCTCCGGATTCGGATCGAGTAGTTAGCTCCCCGTGGAGCTGCCCTCCAAGCCACTAGCTGCTAATGCGAAACAAACGAAGAGCGGCTGGCGGGGGCGCTTGGGAGCAGGAGGGGACCGGAGATGGACCACACGGTGGGCACAACAATCAATCATACAATTAATAATTCAACGTGCCAGGTAGGAGACGTAAGAAATGCCTGGCGGAGCTGTCCAAACTACCAGAAAACCCGAAAACATCGAAATAAATACGTTTAATCAATGGGAAATTAAATTTAATTAGCTTGGCCCAGAGAGTTTTGGCCAACTGCTGAGTGAGAAGAAGACGAACCAGATTGACAGCGAGATGTTGTTAGCTCATTATTGCTGTATTTCCAGATGAATAAATCAATTTAAATTAGTTAATGTCACTAGCGTTGACAGCAGGAATTTTTAAAACTATCATGGCTAAAAATATTAGGATATCCGAACAAGATTTACACTTTCCTGGTTTTTATACCCTTGCAGAGGGTATTATAATTTTGTCCAAAAGTGTGCAACGCAGTGAAGGAGACATCTCCGACCCTATAAAGTATATATATTCTTGATCAGGATCACCTCCTGAGTTGATATGAGCATGTCCGTCTGTCCGTCTGTCCGTCTGTCCGTCTGTCTGTTTCTACGCAAACTAGTCTCTCAGTTTTAAAGCTATCGACTTGAAACTTTGCACACACCCTTCTTTCCTTTGCACGCAGTATATAAGTCGGAACGACCGGGATCGGCCGACTATATCCTATAGCTGCCATATAACTGATTGATCGGAAATGGTATAACTTTGGTGTTTTTAGAGTTAGAGAGTTCAAATTTAACACGAGAGCTATTTTTAGCAAAACATTACGACATGCCAAATTTCATAAGGATCGGACGACTATATCCTATAGCTGCCATATAACTGAACGATCGGAAATGACCCAACTTTCGTGTTTTTGAAGATAGAAAGCTGGAATTTAATACAGATTCTATTTTTGGTCAGTTGACCCAACCTACCAAATTTCATTAGGATCGGCCGACTATATCCCATAGCTGCCATATAACTGAACGATCGGAAATGGTATTTGGTAGAAATATCAACTTTCGTATTTTTGAAGATAGAAGTTTGGGACTCTTTTTAGATTTTGTATTGTAATAAATTGGATTATATTTTCCTATTTCCATAAGGATCGGCCAACTATATCCGATGTTTGCGATATATATCCGGTTTTAACTGCAAGGGTATATAAACTTCGGCTCCGCCCGAAGTTAG